GATTGAAGAACGATCCTAACCTGGCTCCCCAGGCCTCCACTGAGGGCTTCCAGTTTGACGGTAACACCAACATACCGGCAGAAGGTTTCAAGTTCTAGGCTAACAGAATCCTTCCTTCAGAGATGCTCGCTGGCAAGTGTGATGATAACGAAGTAATCTTTGGCTACTGTGAAATATAACTGTAAGAAAACTGTCCAGGGTTTGAAACTAGGCCTGCCGGTGACATGGGTTTCGGTGCTCTTAGTCAGGGTGCTAGCAAAATTTTGCAGCCATTTTTTTTTTTAACAACGAGAAGATTGAAATCCCAGTCAAATCTGGAGAATTGTTCTTGTGCACAGCCTGATACAGTTTTCTGGATAGGAAGAGAATTCCACTGTGCAAGTCTCTGCAAGTTGACAAAAATTCTGCTTCTCCAGCACATGAAACATTGTGGGCTACAAGAAAACCTGAGATGCCAAGTAAATGCAGCTAGTTTCAAGCTCTGGAACAGGGTGTTTCACTCAATAAATGAGTGAGGAAAAAAGAAATTCAAGCAACAGACTTTGTGTGCAGGTTACACAAGTTTGCGTCAATGTTTGTGATTAAAAGAAAAATACTTTGGCAGAATCTTTGCTCCTGGATACATCATAGTTTCTTGGATGCATGTAAGATATGTCTCACAGAATCATGGACCCAGGAGCAAAGAGATGTTAACAACCTTGTGTAAATTGGGTTTGAAAAGGTTTCTGGCATGGAAGAAACCAGTCATTAATACTGGACTGAGTCCCTCCAGAAAACCCCTATAGACCCCTTAACCAAAAAAAAGCAACAAAAAAATAAAGTAAAACAAAATGGTGCAAAATGTATCGACTCAAACAGTTAGAAAATATTTATAGCCAATTTGGACCTCTTGTTGCCTGTGAATTGTAAATTCCTAAATTTATGAGAAAAATGCAAACAAAGTATGTTGCAGCAGAAGTGTAGATGTGCGTCATCACTAAACGGTTTAGAAATACGGTGTGACTTACTAGTGTGCTTTATATTTGTGCACAGAGGAATAGGACATGTTTGTGTCGGTAGAGCTTTGGGCATAGCTTGGAGAATTCTTCGGCTGAAGTAACTGTTATACAGACGAATGACAAGTCATCGGGTGGGAGGGGTGATGATGTATTTATTGTGGCATTTCCTTGGCCGCATCTGTCAGAAAAGAAATTTTTATCTATTTTTAAAGTTTTTCTAAATTTGTAAGTGAGAATGTAGTCGGTAGGAAAAGAAAAGTCCCCCCACTCTTGTCCTGATGGTTTGTCAGAAGACACAGTGCTAGTCGGCTAGGTAGGATGCTTTGCTGTATAGTGTGAGTGTGTACTGCTACTGCCTAGCAACTGTCTGACTAGCATATAGCAGCCTAGATTTACCCAGGAATCTGAGCTAGCTCCATGGCATCTTCATTACAAAGTCTGTATTATAAGCTCCACACCAATGAAGTACACACACTCAACAGACATTTGGATAGGCATTTTTTTTTTCTAAGAAAGGGCCAGCATTTAGGCCAACCAATTTGTCCACATTGGACAATCAAATACCATTTATTCCAGCAAAATGTCACAATTTGACTAGCCTCGGGAAAAAATTGGTACATTGTCAGTTGTCATGCAAAAAGGACAACTCTTAATTTTGCTGCTTTTATTGTGTTGTCTGAAAACAATGTGAAAGTGTGGTCAAATTTTTGGGTCTCGCATGCAAAAGCAAGAGAGTACTTCAATGATAGTATTTTACATCCACATGTGGTTACCAAGGTGGCCAACTTTTGGGCATAGTAAAGTTAACATGGTATACAAACCTGTTCCATTCTCTAGATACTGAGGTTACACTATTTCACGAAAGCTAAAGCCATGTACATGTTAATCGTATGATAGAAACTTTGTATATACAATGAGCTAATGTTCAGAGCCAACCTCTTGAAGCAAAAAAGCATCAAAATTCTATGTGTTTCTGTACCTACCAATGAGGTATGGTAGGAGTTGAGGTTTTCAAACTTTGCAGCATGGCAAGTAATGTAACTTGTAAGGAGAAATATATTGGCTGTCACGTCATGTAAAATTGATTTGGCATGACTTTTCAAAAATGTATTTTGACTGGTAATGATATGTATTTCTGAGTTGCTGGCAAAAGTTTGGAATTGGAGTTTGAAAATAAACATGTATCAATTATTCAAAGTAAACATGTATCAATTATCAAAAACAGGCACCTACATAACCAGTAATGTTTCTGGATGCATGGAGGATTGTTGTTTTTAGATTGCTGAATACTGAATACTTGGCAACATTGTGTGCTTCCAGTCAAGCTCTGGTTGTACACACCATGTATTTTCCAGACACAAAATTGTTTCCTGTATAACTCACAACAGTCTTAATTTTCAGGACAAATATACTAGTATACTAGAGGAAAACATATTGTAAACAAAGCTAGAAATAATCTAAATGGAAAAAAGTACCATATTCTTAATAATGTGTGAGTCTTCATATTGACACAGGGTGTTGAATAGAACTTGTTTGCTGTTAATCTAAGTTGAGCACATATTTATTGGTATGAATTCATATTAAGGTGATGTTTAGGAGGGTCCTA